CAGCATCAGGGTCTTTTCCAGAGTCCTCTCTTCGCATTAGGTGACCAAAGTATCTGAGCTTGACACTGAGCTTGGCACTGTATGCCATACATTAAATAATAATGCTAACAATATATACTATCAACATTTAGAATCTGTGAGTGAAGTTTTAAGACAGAAAAAACTAAAGTCTAAGTAACAGAAATTAAGAAAGGATATATCCAATTGTTGATAATTTACAAACACAGAAAGCTGATTTTTCAAGCCTCATGAAAGGCATCAAACTTTTTATAACAATTATATTATCAGATTCTTATCTGGAATTTACAACTCTGAATTAACTTCAAGTCCCTCTTCCTCACATCAGTATAACCCATATTACCTGTACTTTCATTCAGAATGGTTGAGTCTCAATTGCTCTCATTTCAATACATTGCTGAGATTCACTCACTCTGAGCTGGAAGGTACTGAAAGGCACCATTTGGCCAAAGCCTTGGAATGAGCAAGCAACTAGGGTCTTGGACCAGATTTGCCTATGCAAACTGTGTTTATGGATCCTGCAGGGTTCCTTGGTTTATTGAGGAGCTGCAGGAGATGAAGTGACACAAGGGACATCTAGAGTGAAGCCAACCAACCAACCAAAAGTAAGAACCTTTATTAGGACTTACTTTGTGGCAACAAGCATGCTTACTTCTCTGCTCTTATTTTGTCCGCAGATAGCCAGCCAGCAGCCGTTTAGGGTAACCAGGTTCCTTCTGGGCAAAGAACCAGAAAAACCCTTGCAGGGCCAACGTGAAAAATATTTTCAGCATCTGTCAGATAAAGTCACTCGACTTCACTTGGAAATAGACACCAGCTGGGCAGGTCCTTTGGAAGTGACTGGGGCACGTCTGATCTCAATTATCTGGGAAGAGTTTGAGCCAGTTACTCCCAAGGAAGTGGACAGGGTTCTTGGGGCTGTAAGTTCTGCCACCTGTTTCAGACCTGTGACCCTCCTGATTAAGGCCTCCAGGAAGGTGGCACATGGTTGGGTCCAAGCAATGATTAATGCCTCATTGCAGGAGGGGATGTTGCTGCCTGCCTTGAAGGAGGCAGTGGTGTGTCCCCTTCTCAAGAGGCCATCCTTGGATGCAACTGTGTTAGATAACTTTTGTCCAGTCTCCACCTTTCCCTTTTTAGAGAAGGTTGTTGAGAGGGTGGTGAGCACTCAGCTTCAAAAGGCCCTGGATAAAGCAAATTATCTGGACCCTTTTCAGTCAGGGTTCAGACTGGAGTACAGCACAGAGATAGCACTGGTTGCACTGGTAGATGGGGGCAGCACATCTGTTCTTGCCCTCTTGGTTTTTCAGTGGCTTTTGATACCATTGATAATGGTATCCTTCTGGACCAGCTTCAGAGGTTGAGAGCGGGGGTCACAGATTTGCAGTGGTTTTCCTTCTTCCTTTGGGGCAGATTCCAGCCCATCTTGGTGGAGGAGATGAAGTCTTAGGCCCCTGCAATGTGGGGTGCCTCAGGACTCGGGTCTCTCACCCATCCTTTTTCATATTTACATTAAACCACTGGGAGAGGTCATCCGGCAGCACAGGGTGCAGAATAATCAATATACTGATGACACACAATTATACACCTCCACTCCTGGCCAGCTAAGCAACACTATCTTAGTACTGGCCCATTGGCTAAAGACTGTAAGGGTCTGGATGGGGTGGAACCCACTTCAAATCAACCCTAGCAAGACACAGTGGATCTGGATTTTTGGCCTCCTGGGTCCAGTGCTAAATCATCTTTGACTCTTGCTGGGTTAGGGTGATGTGCAATTTGTGAGTCCTCCTGGACTTCCAGTTCCTGCTCAAGGAGCAGATGGCAGCTGTGGTTGGCAGGGTCTTTGTACAAATCCATCTCTTGTGGCAATTCCTGGATCGGATAGCCTTGCTCACAGTCATTCATGCTCTGGTCACTTCCCAGTTGGATCACTGCAATGAGCTCTACATGGAGCTGCTGCTGAAGACCATCCAAAAACTACAACTGGTCCAGAATGTAGCAGGACGCACATTTCTGAATGCCTTATGTTTTTCCCATATTACATCACTGCTGTGCAAGCTGCACTGGCTTTCAGTTTCTTTCTGAAACTGGTTATCACCTTTAAAGCCCTAAAGGGACCAGGCTACTTGGGGACCCTCTCTCTCTGAGGATATCTGCTTGTCCCAACCAATCAGATAGAACAGGCATGCTCAAGGTCCCTCCACTTAAATGCTGTCATCCAGCAGGACCTAGGAAGCAGGACTTCTCTGTAACTTTTTCTGCCCTGTGGAACATCCTTCCCCCAGAGATCTGGCAGGCTCCCATCCTCCTTGTCTTCCAGGCCTTGAAGAGCTAGCTTTCCCCACAAACATTGGAGTATGATGAGGTGGAACTCAGTAATACAGTGTGTGGATGTAAGGGAAGGTGCTGCCTGGGGATGCCATGAGTTTTATACAGTTTTATTTTGATGGTTTGTGGAGCTTCTGTTTTGTTTTCTGTGATGCCCAGGGTTGCTGTTACAATATGGGCAGCTACATAAGTGTTTTAAAATAAATAAATACATTATGTTGCAAGAATTGTCTAGAAAACCATCAGTTTCAATTGTAGGGAAATGTTTCATATGACTAGATGCTTAAGGATATGGACAAGACACTTGAGGGATTCTATTCCACCTATTACTTGGGCATTAGACTTTTGCCCACAATAGCCAATTAAAGCTAGCCAAAGAGATGGGTGAAGTAGCCCCCCAGGCAATATTTACACCTTTTTGAAGGGGCAGGGCAATTTCAGTGGCTTTGCAACAGTCACTGATATATCCCCCTCCTCAAGAGTCCCCCTCTGCACCCAACAATTTTGGAATAGAGCCTAACAGGCAGTATCCTCTTTGGGACAAGAGTGTGAAATGGGTAGTAGATCAGCTTCGGATGAGCTTGGATGAAAATGATTAAAATCTGGCTTCAGGCCTTGTTTTAGCACCAAAACTGCGTTGGTCACACTGCCAGTTGACCAGTATTGGGAAAGAGATCAGAGGAATAAAACCTTACTGATTTGTCCCAGATCTCCCAATCACTTCTGATATTGCTGACCATGTAGCTTACTGGAGTGGCTGTTGATAGAAGTCAGACATGATGATATCATAGTTCTGCTCTTTCCTGAGGAACTATTTCTGGAAAGTAACATTCAATATGCTGCTTGCACTGTAATGGCCACCAAGTATCAAGTATTTCTTTTGCTATACTTTTTTTAAAAAAAGTATATTAAATAATTGAGCAAGATTATCTGCAGATGTATGATGATATGTCATTAGTCAACAGATTAGCATGATCAATCTGAAACAGATGAGATACTACAGGGTCTAGATCAGTGTCTGGAGACAGTAATAGATTGGATGAGGAGCAACAGCTTGATTAGAGACTGTTCTCATGTTAAGCACTGGAAGAAGCCATAGTTTGAACTGAGTGGTACTTTTCACTGAAGGAACAGGTGCATAGTCTTATATCAGATCTCCCTAACAACAATCAAGATTTGAGAAGAACAGCAAAAAAATTATTCTCTTTGAACTCAAATCAATAAGATTAGTGAAAAGGTTGAAGTCAGAACACAAGAATTTCAGCAACCGACTCTGCTTTCAATTTTTATGGGACCTACCCATAGGCAATGTGTCTGTATCCAACTCCAGCTGATTCCACAGCTATGTTTTTTTCTGAACTGACAGTCTGGCTATAGTTACCAATACCTCAACAGTTTAATAAGTAGATTACGGTGTTTTATGTGGAGGCCATTGAAATAGTTAAGTATCAACTGATATAAAATACTGCCATTCAGTTATTGAGCAGGACACAGATCAGAATTATTAGTCCCTGATAGCCTCACTGACTGCATATTTACTTCCAAGCTTATTTCAAAGCAGTGCTGTTAGTACAAGCCCTAAGTGGACACAAGTACAGGTTAGAACATATTTTGGTATGTAGCAGCCCCACCTTTAAGATCCCATGAATAGGCAATACCTGGATGAAGGGAACACATGGCTGTGGCAGTCCTTGCCATATGACTTCCTGCTAATGAAGGTGCATCAGGAATTGTATTATCTCAACTTCATCTAGTATTACAGTACTATATGTACCTAATTTCCTAAGCTGTGAAACACATTGTCTGGTAATATACTAACATTCCATCATAATAATGAGCATTTTGATTGGGATGCTTATATACTATGAAGCACACAGTGTTGGATTCTGTTTTTACCAGTGTCAAGTGTATAAATGATGTTCCAAAACAAAGACAGAAATATACATTCTTTTAATCCTTTATGTTTGCTTAAAGTCTCCTTCAAGTCAAGCTCAACTTCTGATGACTCCATGTATACATCCATGTAAATTTCTTGAAAATAATATAGAAATGGTATGCTACTTCTTTTTTCTGGGATTTGATTTCACAGTCTAACCTACAGCCCTGATACTACCTGGAAGCATCTCATCCAAATACCAACCAACCCAACCCTCCTTAACTTTTTAGCTCAGATCAGGTGCTGCTATCTGCTGAGACAATATACTATTCCCCATACAATTTGCTTAATATGTATTGTAATGACATATATGCAAAACATCTGCCAGACTGGACACTTAAAAATGAAACAGAAAACCCTGCTCATTTTAATGCCCCTGATTTATAACATTTTTATTTGCTCATAAACATTTTTCTTTGACCTAAGAAAGTTCCCTATGCCTATCAACAAACAGATCTACCTACATGCCAGTTATCCACTTTGACTTCATGGGTATAATGATGGCACTGATGCTTTTAATTAATCTACAGTATTTCACCTGGAAAAGAACCCAGGAATTGCTTGTTTGAGGCAGCTTAAAAAGACACTTTCTATGCTCTTCTAGGATAGACAGTTTTGGTTTTTTTTACATGCATGCTATTTTTGCAAATCATAACAAACATTCCAAGATTATCAGAACAAAGGAAATTATACCTGTCTGTACTGAGGGAAAGGATATTGTAACAAAGTTCTACAAAATGCAAGATCACACCCTGATCTTATTAAGCTATTTTGCCCAGTTTTAAAAATCCAGTATAATAAATAGAATTGAACAGAACTGAACAGAATGAAATGGGGGGGAAATTACCCACTTTAAAAAGGGAAGGAAGATGAGACAAAGATAGACACATGTATCAACAATGGAAAGTCGGGAACTACTGTGAGCACAAATTAGAGTAAAAACTCTGTACAGCTCTTCTGACACAAAACAACTAAAATAAGAATATGCATATTGATAAACAGAATACATGCTCACCACAAGTAAGAACTTGTTCATCCCTTTACCATATTTGACAAATCGAAATATAAATGAAAGTGCAATCTAATTATAAACTTCAATTGAGTGCCCTATTCTTTAAATCAAGTAAAGGAATTCAGTAAACATTTTCAAAACTATCTTGTTCATAAGTCTTCCTATTAAAAAAATCAGAAACACGGACCATTTAACTCAAAAACATATTTTAAAACTGAGCACATGTAGTAGTTCATTTTAAAATGTATATAAGAACACTTTCATATTGTTCAAACTAGAATCTTCTAATAATTTTTCAATACTGAGGGAAGAACAATTACCAGTCAGAAATGCTTTAATTTGGATACGTGAAAACCCAATTACCTAGATATCCCTTTCCCATTCTATAATTCAGTGTGACAAAAAGAGAGGAAGCTAAATGTTTAGAATTTTTCAGAGAATGGAAGATACCAGTTGCTATATCCCAATGACTCCAATTTTTGTATGTCACTTTGTATGTAATTTTTAGTAAGAGCCATGAGCATTCTTCTATTTTAATAGTTGGATATAATTCCTGTTGAAGTAAGGAAATGTGTGCTTTTAATAACATAAATTTTCTTCCATTTCAATGAAATTCAGCAGATATAAATCTAAGTGATAAATCCAAGTGATAATACTAATCTAGTTTTTGTTTGCCAATCCTTTTGTACCAAAGTTTTTTATTTGTATGTGTGCAAAACCTGTTATACTAGCATCTGTATTAGCTGAATCTGATCTTTTATTTTAATAGAAATATTTTACTTTCAAGTGAGTATGGGCAAAGGAAGATCCCATGCATGTAATAAGATCACTCACTTAAAAAAGCAGGTCTATTTATTATGTATATGAATATACATACTTTGTATATTCTTTGTAGATTGTGCAGAGACTCACTGAGAAATATTTTTAATCCTTACAACCATTCTCTTCTGCAAACTATGTATGTAAATATGTTTCCAAGAAAACAATATATCAAGATGTAGTACATAATGAAACTACATGGTAATAGTATGGGAATACCCAGCTAATGAAAGAGGCATGGTGACTATTCTGTCTTTTGCTTAGCACCAAAGTTTTTGATGAATGATTAAAATTCTGAGTATTGACTACTAATTAATAGAAATCTTATTCAACAAAGCTCTGTTTAACAAAGCAAATTTGGTATACATTTATTCAACGTACTGAATAATCCAAAAATTATGGAACCACTAATAACCCAAAATTCCATAAGCATTTTTAATATGTCAAACAAAATTCAGTGAAATGTAATAATCTGGTAGAAAGCAACTGATCAGTAATGATAATACAGTCTAATTATTATTCTAAACCAAATAATAACAGCTGTCCTAATGATAAAAGCTCCTTACAGTTAAAAAAAAAATCCTCACATCAGGAAAAGTGTCTTTTTGTTTATAATCAAGGGAATTACTTTTAAGTAAATAGTAACTGCAACTCATAAAATAAATGTTTTATATTAAACAGCTTAATATTTAATGCATATTTGGAGACATTAGTTACTTTACACATTATTATATAATCCTTGAATGCTAGGTAAAGAAGAGATCTTATTTCTGTTTTGTGTAAGACTATTCATATATTCAGCAAAGAGTTTGTTTATTTAGTTCACAAATTATTTCTTTGGGCTCCTTCAAAAGAAATTGTGGCATACAGATAAAATAAAAATATTTCCTCAATATGTGTACATAAACAAACAGGAAAAACATTAAATAGATTTTATAGATCCAAGTCCTTGGATTAGTTATATAAAAACATAAAATTAAAAAAATGTTTTATGATCAAAAGTAGAATTGAACCAGGAAGAACAAGTATGATAAAAAAATATTAAGATTCATTCAAATAATTGATTTATTTAACAGAATATACAGTTTAAATATTTTGCATAGGAGATGATACAGAGAGCATCCAAAATAGTTTAGAACAGAGACAGGGAAGGGATGTCATTCAAAAAGTCATGTTAAACATACCTTTTCCAGAACTGCATCATCCACTAAACACATCAGTTTGGAACAAATGTCAGGTGCCTATTGCAAGAGAGAGCTTGGAGAGTTACAATTTAAAGGAACTGTGACCTTGTAAACTGAGGCCACAAGTAGTCATTTGAAAATCATTTACTTTTAGAATGGCCCTGAAAAAAACTTCAGCTTCTAATTTCAAAAACATCTGACAAAAAGTAAATTTTGAAAAGCACATGGTAACTGAAATGGCTCTAACTTTTTAGGATGAAAATGGAAAGTTGTTTGTATGTTCCTGTCACAGTAACTATGACTACATGAGTTAATGAAGAAAATGTGCACAAGACACCCCTACAATTCTATTAGCTTTAATAACAATACACACACACACAAAGTGATTAAATGAACTGCCAAACTTTCCTAATTTGTGCTAATCAGTCGGAATGTAAGACAAAGATTATGACAGAATTGTGAAGATCATTTTTCTGGCCCAAAACCAGACATTTTTATTCAGACGTTCTTGCATTATTAGCATTTCTATTCTAACCAAAATGTTCAAGTTTTTTTTTTTTAAAGACACATAATGATTAACTGAGAAAATATTGAATATGTATGTTTAAATACTACATTTAATATCTAATTGTAAAACACTGTAACAAAGATATGAGCTGCTACAGATCTCAACTGGTTAGGATTTATAACTGTGTTTTCCCAGTGAGGCAATTTAGTGCATGCCATCAAAACTGAATGAATTCAGTCCACTTATAATTTAACCATCACACCAACTTCTGGATGAATTAATCTACTGATAGCATGTAAGTGCTACTTTCTTTCAATTTAAAACTGTGTCTACCATTGGGATGAGAAAGCTGCAATGAAACTGGACGTGAGTTTTCTTTGTATAAACAACATGGTAACCAAGTGAGTCTCATGTCTTATCCCCAATTTCATTTAGATATGAATAGATATTCCCTTCTTCACTCCCCACAATCTGAATCTTATTTTAGGCTCATAACACAATATCCTTTTCTCTGAAAGGTACAACATAATTATTCAAAAAAGATTTAAAATAATGTTTTGCATGACCTTTGAATGCAATTTATTAATATTAATTGATTTAGCCCCAAATAATGCGAAGAAGAACAAAGCACAACTATACTCCACTAGTCACTGTTTTATCTCCATAGTCTTACCTATATGCTCACAAGATGAATATGGTGCTGTAGAGACCCACAGTAACTAGTCAAGCCTTAATTCAGAAGAACAACGCTATGACCATTAGGAAATATTTCTAAACACCTATCCACCATGGAACATGTGCACACGCTGTACTATACAGTACTCAAATATATGGCAATGCAAACATACCATATGGTTTACTAAGTGACAAACATTTTTGGTATAAGTAGACTTCCATTAAAAAACCTATCTGCCCATCTATAGTTAAATCAATGATACTAATTGTAAAAGGGAAGCTAATTATTTTTCTAGCTTCTCTTTCCTTCTTCTTTTATTGAAGAAATATCAGTGTACAGAAAAAAAAAATTTAGAAAAAGAGTAAGGAGAGAAAGAAAAGGCAGGTTCACCAGAGATCTACTTTATTTCCCTTTTCAAACAGAAAGTGTATTCATCATAACAAATCAGTTATTAAAAGCCCATGCATCTATATAATTCATAATTCTATCACATATGAGTGTATTGTGTGTGCATATGCACCTAAAAAAGAGACTACGATTAGCCAGGGTTTGACATTCTTTCCATGCATTTTATTAACTACAGTGGTACCTCGGGTCACGAACTTAATTCGTTCCGCGACTCTGGTCGCGGCCCAAATTGGTCGCGACCCAAATCAAATTTTCCCATAAGGTTCAATGTAAATATGGTTAAT